TTAATAGCAGTCCTTGTCAGATCATCCAGTGCTTGATCTGGATCCCAACTAAATCAGCATCGGCAGAATTATGAGAGACCAGAAACCTCTGCATTCCCAAGAAACAAAATTCCTTCTTTTACTGTAGCCATCAAAAAAATGTTATTTAATCTATATGATGCTACGAATCCCTCCCCCCAGATAGTGCACCACCAAAGCAGTCCCTGTGGACCTGTAGTAGTTCCCAGTTAGAACAATCTCCACATCTTCCAGTGCCTTTCATTATTGTATCAGCTAAATTAGCTGACTAACCTGGTGCTAGAAAATAGACAGAGCCTTCTCTGTGTAGGAGTCCCACTGGTGCTAGCACATATGAAGAGTACCTTTGAGTAAAATTCCCAGCCATAGGCAATGTGAAGGGTTGAACATCCAGTATATCCTCCACAAACCAGCTTAAAACACCAGGTTCTGCTCCTGCAATGACCTCTCCACAGAGTAGCCTGACGATGTGAACCACACAGGCTTGTAGAAGTCCAAAGGGTGTATCTTTGCAAGATTTGCCTCCTTTTCTACATTTTGGTAGTTGCCTTTTTGTCTTTCTGGAGAGATCCTGAAGTAAGTAAAAAATACAAATTTACAGAGGGAAGTATAATATACTACCAAATGTAATTAAGGTGAAATGTAAAGAAGCAAAAACTTTATAGACTATCTTGATACACTTATGAAAGCATTCTCTGGTACCAGAAAAGCAAAAATCCCTTTATTTCTGATACTTGATTATAAATATTAATCCACAACTCAAAGTGACAGCAAAGCGTGCATCCTTCAGGACAAGGTGTTTCTGGTTCTTAAAACCACCTTTCAGATAAAAGCATAATCATGTTTCAGCATATTCGTTTTCAGAAAGCCCTGCTCCAGAACTCAGAAATGTTCTACAGGTTTATATAGATCTTTTAAAATCACAGCTTCTTGACATACACAATTGCTTTGTTGCAAAAGCAGTTTTATTACAGCAGTCACTTCCATATTGACAGTCTGCCAGTCAGATCCAATTCTGATTCACTTTAGTGTGCCAAGATCAAAGCTGAAATGATTGATCAAGAAAAACATGATTTTTCTGCAATGAAAGGAAGATTTCTATGAAATGGAGAGAAGTGCACTGAATGCCAATGGAGGGCAAGTAACATTATTTTTATAATTCACTTTTATATTTCGTATTAAGATATGCTGCATTTTCTGATTGAAATTGTAGGTCTATTTATGCAATGCAAATTGCTGTAGGTGCTTTTTATGTGTTGAAATGAAAACTTCATACAGTGTGTCCATTATATCTACTATTTTTGTTAGGACTTTTGGTTCAAAGAGCTTACCGTACAAAATTTTGCTTCTGGTCTTAATTACATGCTTAAGAGGTCTGTACATGGGACCTGCAAAACCACAGAGGTTTCACCCTTGTATTTATGATGGTTGTTTTCCTTTTGTTTGCCCATGCAACTGCAGGACCCAAAATTGAGCTGCTCTGTAGGGGCAAACACTGGGAGAACCTGTTGCGTGTCAAAACGTGTCCCTGAAATGGGACAAAAGGGGAAGCATCACCTAGGAACAACTGTTACAAGTTAGTGTGGTGGGATGTGCAAGCATCAAAGCCATTCAACTTACCATAACCAGATAACTAGAAAGAGCTCAGGCCTGGAAAAACACACTAAAATACAGGTACGGGCAAAGTGAGAAGATAGTCAAGGATAAAATTAAGTTATTTAATGTTAATCTCTTTAAACTCCTGTACCTTTGGTCTAATTCCTACACCTTCCCCAATTTCCCCTTTAGTCACAAACTCAAGGGGCTTTGTGAATGATGCTCCCCACATCACAGCCCCTCCACGGCCCAATCTGTTACCAGTGCAGTTCTTGTATTTCACTCTGGTCCCAGCACACAGTCCCTCCAGGGGCCGTGACACGCCGCGCTCTGCGCTGTATGCAAACCTCTGTGTGGGAGCTTCCTCACCCACCTCCCCTTCTCCAGCCCGAAAGGGAGCATGGCCAGGCATACGACAGGTATGCTCCTGGCCACGTCAGCTTGCTCTAGATGTTTCCGTAGCACGTACATTTTTCCTATTCACTGCCTTTTCATGCCTACTTGTATTCATCGAAGCCTATGTTGACAATGACACCAGTGTAACGGGTTTTGTGGAATCTCTAGCTTTTGGCATCAATTTGGCCTAGTGCAGTCTCCACAAATGCCTTATCTGTCACAGCTGGAGACCTTACTTGCTCCAGAACTACCTACTTCTCAGAGCAGAGACAGAATTAAACCATTTTCTGATAGATGGTACAAAGAACAGAGCAGCAAGTTCTCTTCTCCATTCCGTTTGGTCCTTTTCCTTTCCCTCTGCTGGAGGCCATTGCATGCCTTACAAGGACAGTTCGTTTCTCTGTAGAGATGTAAATTCAGGACGCACATTTCAAATGCAATTCCACGACAACCATGTTTTAGCTGCTAGTTCTCAACCGCTCGTCAGCTGCTGCTCCTCTCCCTCTCTAGCCATTCACATGGCCAGTGTTCTGCCCCGCCAAAAACACCATTTTGATGGTTATATAAATAATTCTCAGACTTTCAATAAAGTCCAGCACCCATGATAAAGCAGCTCATTGTACATTTATTACTGTCACATAATAGATTTTTTTTTTAAAAGCAAAAAATCATCAAAAAATGATTCTTTAGTCTTTCCTGTTCAGTGCTCCAGTAAAGGACAGGAGAAATATAGGATAATACTAAAGGTGAAACATCACCACATACTCTTGGAGTAATCATAAATCCATTTTTACATAACTTACTATAAAATTTAAACTATGTGAACTTTTAAGTCTCTACTGCTAAGAAAAATAGTATTTTTAAATAGCATCCACAATTTAAAAAAAATGCTTTCAGTCAGCTAGATGTGTGGCAGATTTTCCAACAGAAGTTTCATAGGTTGAATGCAAAAATAAAAGTTATCATTTGTGGGCTTTCATTGTTGAGAAAACTTGTAACTTTATTTTGAAGAATGTACTGTATTTTTGAACAACTTTGATCTTTGAACTTGATTTTGAAAACTAAGAGGTAGCAACATAAGTCTCTCCAGCAACATACTGATAAATAAATTTAAAATATCCACTTCTATATTCTTTGAAGTACAGACCTTCTAGATACCTGCTTTTTTAAATGTCTTCATAGTACATCTATAAAATATACAAATGGGTGAGCAGTGTCTTCTATCCCAATGACATCACAAACTTGATAGTGTATACTCCTATAAAATAAATCGCTGTTTATTTTTTCTGCCATTGTAAATAGGAATAGTTTTCAGTCCTTTTGTCCTAAATTATAAAAACAGCATGCCAACAATAAAAATCAGTTAAAAATCAGATGCCAAAAATTAAGCCTCTTTTCTATACAAAAGCCTTTTAGCAACATACGCTATCGCAGTATAATGAAAGCTAAGGCAGAGCTATACCTTCAGTATGTATCCTACTCTCCATAAAGCATTTAAGCATATAGGGCCATATCAAATCAGTGTATTCATTCTTCTATAAAGCAACCAGATCTAGAGGAAAAGGGAAAAGTGGAGTCAAGACAAATATACCTCTGAATAGAACTGACCAATTTATTCATTAAACTCGCACTTTAAAAATAGTATTCCCCTGAACAGACTACAGGAAAAACTGCAGTAACTCTTTCCAGATTTTTTATAAAGCTAAACAAATATCAATACCAACCTGGATTTTTTAGCTTGAATTTGGTACCACTGATACAATGACTTTATCTGTTATCTGGTCCATTATCAAATTTCTGTTCCTTGCAAATATTCAAGACTAGGATCGAGCTATGTCTGTTAAGGAGATTGCAGTCCTTTCATTGTAAGATATATTTTCCAGTCTTTTATTCTTACTACTCTTAATCCTCTCCTCCACTTTTTCTGATCTTTCTTGAATTGCTGACATGGAACTACATACCCATCTGACTACATGCACCAGTACCAAGTAAAAAGGGAAAACTACACTTTATAAACACACGTACATTTTTTTTTTTTTTTAAATAGTCTCTGACCCACAAAACTTCTATGCTAGTTTTAGTATTTGAAACGTATATTTAGGTTACTATCTATGAAGCCTACTAAAATCCTTTTCATAAAGGCCTTTCTACAAGAGAAAGCTTCTTGTCCTCCTCTTCTCTGACCAGTCCTCTGAAGTCCAAATTTTTGGTACAGTTGTGCTACATTACACTTTGCTTGTACAAAAACCCATGGCAAACCAAAATATAGAAGAAACCCAAGAACCCTGACTTTGAAACAGTAAAGATGGTTAAGTCATCAACACTTTGCCTTTTTGTATATACACAAAACATGCAAATCTACACATGTGGAAGAATATGCACTAGTATTTATATAAGCATTACAGGTAATTTGCTTTTTACATGTGGAAAAATGGTTTAACAGTAAAACCCATAAAGATTGCTGGTGTCTGCTTGTCTAGCGCTACAGCATCTAACTTCGGTTACATACTATGATCAAAACCCAGTCTGCCTTCAGAAAGATTTAGACTACAATTTACCAGTTCTCTGCTCTGTTATCTGGGCTGGGAATATCCTTTTCATTCATGGTCAACGTGACTCAGCTCCTCTGCAGCACTGCACCTCCTTTTCAAAACACTGACATATTTAAGTGAAAAGCCATCAGCTGAGACACAAAAACCAAACTTTACTCTGAACGAGGCCCCAGTGCTTCCTCCTCAACTTCTGGGCACCAGAACAGGTTGCCAACATCCTTAGGAGACATTCAGCAGCCATCCGGGCACAGTCCTGTGCAGCCTGCTCTGGGTGGCCCTGCCTGAGCAGGGGGGTTGGACAAGATAACCGGTAGTCATCCCTTCCAACCTCAAACATTCTGTGATACTGTACTGCTTCTGTTTGTAAAGCTGATTTTCTCCAGCATCTAAAAAGATTCTGAGTTTAGTGATTAATAAATCAACAACTTACTGCAATTATTCACACACAGAATCAAGTGTTTATTTACAAGTATAAAGACATGAATGCTATAAGTACTCTGTCGTGTTCTTCATTATCATGGCACCTCAGATAAGGATAACACATTATGCAAGTAAGACACCTTAGTTTTACTAGGCACCTGTGCAGTCACTGCTGAACAAATATGGCACACATCCTAAGTAGTACTTTTCCATAATTCTATAAACCTTTAGTACTAATAGCAACTGTACACTGGATTTCTCTATTTTTGGTCAAACAGATACAAGATTTTATTATTTTCAGCAAAGGATTAATAGTTTATTTGGTCACAAGTCATAACGGCCTTCTCATTTCAGTATTTTACAGCATCAACACCTTTTGGCTTTGCAGAGAACTTTTTTTTTTTTCTTGTTCAAGTCAACTGGGAAGCCATAGCCAGCAGATACTGTTGATCTGAATTCTGTCATTTCAGTTGCAAGACAACCTTCAAAAAGGAGAAAAGGAATGAGATTAATGTTGGGCGAGACCAAAACTTAAGCAGTCTAGGAAATACAGCTTTTTGCTTTCTGTAATATGTGACTGTATAAACATGACTTTCCTCTGGCAAACACACCACCTCTCTCTCAGCTCTCTTTTACAACCTCACACAACTATCACTTCCACTTTCCTTAGCACTTACTGCATGCAAACCGTTCCTCAGCTCCCTGTAATCAAAAAGCAGAATGGTAATTTCCAGGTCCAGTGAAGTTCCTTCCATACAAAGCAGAACCAAGGGACCATTTCTAGAGTGAATTCCCCCTTGTGCGCACATAATACTAAGTAAGGACATGGCAACATCCCACAGCTTCCATACGGACCTTCACAGAGGAGAAAAGGAGTGTGCAGACTCCTGGAGTCTGTCCTGGAAAAATCCTTGTTTATACAGTGTAAAACTAATGACAAGCTATTATTTTTATTTAGTTTTGGAGGGAAAAATCCAGGGGAAAGAAAGCTGTTAAGGGCACTCATTTCACAACCACCTGTATCTGGACTAATGCATTTTTCTCACTGGGAACCACATAGTTATTCAGAGGTCTCGCAGCCTCATTAAAGCAACTGGTAGACATAGTTGTAGTGTCTTTTTTAATTCGAAACATTATCAGCACTATTACTGCTTAGTATTTAACTCTGAACTATAAATCTATTATTTTCAGTTGTTATATGCTGATGAAGATTTTTTTTAAATATTCATCTACAGATTTCAGCTATAGCATCATAACATTACATGTAATACCTAAAGAAACCCCTTACTTGCTAAATGCTATGAAGCACCTACAAGCTGCTACCTTCTAGAACACGTTGATAAAACACTTTCACATCCATCCTGCAAGATGTCAGAGAATTCAGTCTCCCAGATAAGAGACGTAAATTTTTGAAGACATTTTCAGATTAAACAAAACAAACAAACAACAAAAAAAATAAACACGCACACACACATCAAAAGTCACACCAACAACCAAAACCACACTTTCCTTTATAACAGAGCCAGAATTATTCCTGAAAGGTAACTGAACAAGGAGGGACTCCAAGGTTTGCAGTAATCACCAGGGTGCAAGTCAGATGACACTTCTTCCCCTAACAATTCTTCTTCAGATTCTCACTTCCCTTAGTCTTTTCTACTAAGGGATCTGAGACACTTCAAATAAAGTTTCACTTGAAACTTCCTTCTTGGGCTACTGTATTGGAATCTTTGTAACTTCCTTCCTGATTTACTATGCCATGGAAATTAAAGCACTTAATTTGAACCAAACTACTCTACCATATGCATTCCCAGCCACTGGCATTTTGTGAAGCTGAGGGAACACTGGAGTTCTCTCCAATCTTAATTTGCTTCTCCTCCTATTCTCACAAGACTTTTTATTGGTGGTCTGAACAGACTATTATGCTTATCAGGATTTTAATTACATTTTTAAAAATCTCTAGGCTAAACTAAAAAAACCTCCCTGAAGTCTATCCAAGATGGTCTGCATTACATACGGCTTTCTGTAACTCTATAGTCATTTTGCCAATGAATGGTTTATTTGGGGTTTTCAAAACACCATTTCAGTACATGAGAAGTCAGGAACAAATGATAGTAACAGTAAAAGTTACCTTATTAGCGGCTTCCAGTGCATTTATTAGGTTCTGCAATTCTTCCTTATTCATTTCTATAGAAATTGTTTTAATTTTACCGTTTTCTCTCACATCCAAATCAAGATTGAGAAGTGGCATTTGCAGCATGGCGATCTTATCGCTGGAGAGAGCAAGCTATGCAAATTGATGAAAAACCAATAAAGTGTAAGGTGAAGCCACTAAGTTTTCGGTCTTTCATGGCATCACATCTGCATTTTATATTAAATGTGCACTACCACAACAAACATCAACATGACAAAACTAACCCCACAAGTCACCACTGCCGTTTTTGGTTCTGCCTTTTTTTCACATTACTGGGAATTTTGTTTGCTTGTTAATACCAACAATATACTGAAATACTAAAACCCCTCTTTATTAGCAATACATTTGTCAAAATTTGTTAAAATAACTGGACTTGTATGGTTTTGTATTCTAGGTGAAAAGAAAGGATTCATTTGATCATGGCTCTTTAAAAGTGAAGCATAATGAATTCTGAAGTCACCATATTCAAATAGTTCTGGTAAAGAACAAGTAAGAAGGGCCTTAGAGAAGGGGCAGTTGGGAGAAAGAGGACAGACACCTTTGTGCAGTTTTTAACTCTCTCTACAGCTGATCAAACATTGTCAGATAGCCTAATTGACAAATACTGATAAAGAGGATTACGTACCAATTGTACATTCTTTTTTGTTTACTATTATACTCACTCTAGTATAAATCGAGCTTTTAAAATACATTAAAATTAAAGATCAGCTGATAATACTGTAAGTCAGTGTTGTACACACCTATCTTAGAGAACGAAATGTGGTACAACAGAGAAGAGACAATGTCCTTGGTAGGGTTCAACTGTACTAAGCAAAAAAATTCACAACTAGCTCAAGGTTGGGGGTGGGGGGAAGGCAGTTAAAATCAAAATGAATACAGTAGTTCAGACATGTACCAGAAATAGTTCAGACATGTACCACGAAACAGAAATACAAAAAATCCTCCAGCAAAAAAAGTTAAGAAACAACAAAAACCAAGAGTTCACATAAGTCTGGTTTATATTTTTGTCAGTGGTCAAGTCAGTTAGCAAGAGATCTATCCCTAGTAACAGTTCATCTGAAGCACATTACGATGCCATACTTGCTATTGCAAAATCTTGTCTATTGTGGGCATTGCTCTTTGATTTCCAAAGCTGTTCACTGCACAAATTATTTAACACTCTTGATGGAATGGAAAACTATTTAACAGCTCCCATGGACTAACTAAAATACAAACAGTATAAATAATGTTGTTAAGTCTTTGATAGAGCTTAATTTAAAGCAGCTGTCTTCGTAACCCCAAACCACCATCCAACTTCAGGCAACACAGTTATCATTGGTTTATTATCAAAACAAGTCTAAAGATAAATGATTTCAAACTAATCATTAAATGCTTATTGCAGGAATCTAAAAGTTTGAAAAAAGTCAGGGAAACACATCCTTAATTGGCTTACTATTCTTAAGTAAGTATTTCTTCTTCCTTTGAGTAAAAATACTGTATATTCAAGCCTCAAAATCGTAACAGCATACAAAACTTCAGCTGTTCCTGAGTAACACTCAATCTCCTTTCAGGAAAGAGACAGGTATTGCAGCTTTAAAAGAAAGGAAAAAAGAAAATAAGTTTACTTTTATAGTTGATACAAATTTCTGGCAAACCTTTGATGTGTTATCATGAACGTGCTTTTCTGATACCTATAAAAATTGAACCACGCTCCAGAATGAGCAGGCCTGAGACGACTATACCAACAGTTACTTCTGTGTTGGGGAACACTTCTTTCAAACATTAAGGCAATACTCTCACCTTTAACTGCCAGTCAAAATCCTGCAGCTGGGCAGAAGAGATTGCATTTACTCTTTCCACTAGCGCATTCCTGATTTCTTCCTTTCTGCCTTTTAGACATTTTGTGATTGCTTCTTGATAGGTTGAATTTAACTCATTAATCTGCTGAGCAGCCTACAAAATTAAAAATAGCAATTGCTTAAACTGTGAACCACAGAAATAACATGTACCACCTGTAATTACTGTGCTCTGTAGATATCCAAGCTTCTACCCAGATAGCTGTTATACTGGACCCCACAATCTCATCTGTCTTATACTACCCTCAGCGGCTCTTCTCTGTGTGTGACAGTATTTACCACAGCAATGTATGAAGAAAAAACAATTTCCTTGTCATTGAAATTAAAAGAAATCAGAGAACGGACGCTTTATCAGCCTTCTTAGCACCCTAAAATCAAAACAAAGTCACACACAAACAAGGGGTTTAGCTCAAAGTTTCTGAACATCAAAGTAAAACCAAAATACATTAGCTTCACTGAAACAGACATACTGATGTATGGACTTTCCTATGGATAACAAAGTATCCTTCTTTGATCTAAATACGAGCAGGTAGACAAAATACAAGCAATGTGCAAAAGATGAGAATGAAGATTTCTGATAAAGAAACCAGTTTTCGCAAAGTTTATACATATTGGAATGCCCTGATCTATAGTCCCTGTCCCACATGGGCTTCCATTCACAATCTGTTTTTTTTTTTTTTTTATTTTACATACAGTCAATGTTTTAGAACACTTCAATGCATGAGTAATGAACAAAGAAAGCCAAACAAGAGTGCAAATTGGTTTTATTGCTAAAGAACAGTAATGGCAGATTATGTACTTTAAGGAAAACAAATTCAATTTGGTGGTACTTAAGATACCGATTTAAGCTACTAAAACAGTATTTTAACAAGCATTATCCAGTGCTATTAAAAAAAAAAAAAACAAACCAAAACGAACCAAAACAAAAACAAGTGTCAATTTCTTTTAAACTTCTTTGCAGTGTATCTTTAAGTGCTACTCACTTTCTATCTAGTTAGGCTTAGTCTGCTACTATTCAAATGCTACACTATTAAAATACTTTAGGAGTAAATACACTACAAGACTAATCACTCTAGTATGGTCCTGCAAAATCAAGCCCAACCAGTGCTGAGCCCTTACCTCTTCATCAGATATGTTTCTGCCAACTGCAGTTTTGAAATACATCATTGTGTCTTCTAAAACCTCCATCCACTCTGACAAGCTCCAAATACTGCCATAATCCTGGTATCGAGGATATGCGCGGCCACATACGCCATCAATTATTTTATGAAGGAACTGAAACAATGTGATACATAACTTCAGAGCATAATTCTATCACTGTTAACCTATACCCGATACGAGACTGATCAGGCGATTCAGTCATCACCCGTCCCTTCGCTGGGTACTGTCCCAATGCTTCCTGAGTGCAGCCCATGCACCACTCCAAAAAAACATAAAGAGGTAGTCCCTGAATATGAACTGTCCTCCCTTCTCCCCCCACAGCCAATTCACAAGGTTTCACCACCGACATCACAAGGCGATTCAGAGCCACCCTGGACCTACTTTTGGAAGTAGTTTTGTGCACAGTTACCACACACTGCCGAGCAGCAGAGCTGCCACACCAAAGGGCACCTCAGTCACCTCTGCGCTGGGACTGTCAGGACCCAAGCGCTCATCTCCACACGCCTGTGCATCTAAGTCTCCCAAACCACTGCCCTCTAGCACTGAGGCTTCTCAGCCTGCTGTAGTAATTTTTCTCGGCGCAGCGTGGCGAGGCAAACCCAGCCAGCCTGCTACTTCACCGACGGGAAATGGCTGCAGCCTCTCCGGGAGCGGCCCGGAGCTCGGGCGGGCCGGCCGGCCGTGCTCCCCCTCAACTGGGAAAGAGCTCCCGGCCATTTCCGAGCCTCTAACAGCAAAGGGCGCGCCCCCGGCGGTATTTTGAGCCCGTACTTTTGGTTTCGTTTCAGGGCGGGCCGGCGAGGGGAGCAGCCCCGCCCCCCCCCACACCAGTCCCGCCGGGCGGCACCTCGGCCTCCCCGACGCGCACACCGCCCTCCCCAGCCCCGAGGGCCGTTACCGGACACCGCCCGACGGAGACTGGGACCGGGGGAAAGGCACCCGCTTGCTCCCGCTCCCCCTCCTCCCCAAATTCGCTTCAGGGCGGCAGCGGCCCATAGGCCCCGACTGAACGCAAAGCAGCCGCTGTGCCGGGCAAAGGGGAAGGAAGGCGCTGCCGCCCTGCCCGGGGGTGCCCACCTCGAGGGCCCGTCCCGGCGGCAGCTTCTCCAGCAGCCGCAGCATCGCCCCGGCCCTTCCCGCGCCCCCCGCCGGACACGTGACCGAGCGGCCGGCCCCCGCGGCCACTCCCCTCCGGCGGGCGGCGCGCATGCGCACGGGCAAAGGCGCGCTGCGCAGCTCCCGCCGCCCCCCCGTCAGCCGGCGAAGGGGTGCGGGTGGGAATCCCCGAATCGTTACGAGTTTCTCTATGTAGTAACACTCAAGCTATTTTCACGCCCTGCCTGCTTTGCAGCTTTGCCTCTTCGCTCTAGCTGCCCAGCTGGCGGCAGGGGAGGAAGTTCAAGGCTTACAACAGGCGCCACAGGGCTGATACTACATGAAATTGGGGAAGTTAGGAGAAATACTAACCGCAGAAGGCCATGCTGCTGGCGTGGTGTTGACCGTGATCAACTCGTTTCGCCGAAGTGGGAGTTCAGTGCTAAGCAGACCGTGGAGGAGGTTTGTGGAACAGTTTTTAGCCTTGTCAATGACCTCTGCATGCCTTGAGTCGATTGGGATGTGAATGTGAAGAACCAAAAATGCCAGACCGCTGGTATGAGAAAACCTGTACGAAATCATGTCCCAGCAAGGCAGAACTTCACAGAGATTGATGCACCTGTAGGCAGTCCTTGTTTCACTGAAATCACTAGGCTAATTCACAGGCAAACAATTATGCCTATATAAATACAACACTGGGCCATCAGAGTATGAAACCAGCTACAAGTCTGTGCTGGTGGATGTAAGGTCTGTGGAAAACCCCAAACTGGTTAAGTCGGTTTGCAGCACATCTTCTCCAAAGACAGGTATGGGGCCTTGGAGGAACAGTGCAGTGTGTGGGAGTTTTGGAGGAGAAACAGATGGGGAAGAACCGATTTCATGTTTTGCTGACTGTAAACTTTCAGATCCACCCAATTTCTCTCAGGGTTTGCTACTGTTAGTAGATTAGCTTTTTAACAAAGGCTTCTGGAAATTGTATTCCATTTTATTATGGAGAAATTACTTGAAGCTGCTGTTAAATTCAGGTATAGCTGAAATTGCAAATAAACATTTTGTATCATTTTCAGTAATAATTTAATTTATTCCCCTAGATTTTGCTTTGTTAGATAATGGAAACCTATCCAATTTCTTTTGACTGTACAATGTTGCACACTACAAAATAGAGCAGCAGGGGGAGCTTCTGCTCCAAACAGACCCAGAGACGGCACAGCAGAAATGCGAAGGAGATCCAAATTTGGGGAGAAGTAGGGGGAATAAGGAGGAAAGTAACGAGTGCCCCACTCATTTGAAAGGCATCAGGTAAGTGACAAATGCAAGAGAGAAAAGATGTAACATACAAATACAGAAACACATAAAAGAGGACAGAGACCCTTCTGTCTGATACAATCTCAGTGAACACTTTCAAAGCAGCTTACTTTTTGCAGGTCTGAAGAGTGAGTTTCACTTTTCATAGATGTATAGTTTAAAATAATATTTGGATTCAGCCTACAGACATATGAGGAGCAAAGTCGGGCTACGCAAGGAAATGAGAGCTGGGTTTGCTAAATCCATGTTTCCGAGCCCATGCACAACTACAAAGTAGTAGGGAATACAAAGCTGGCCTTTGGCAGTTCAGAATTTGTTTGGACTTGCATTATTTGGATCTGCCATCAGGTCTTAGACTTTAAAAATACCAGCTTTTCATGCTTCTGTACCACAAGCAGCAATAATCCACCCCACCCCTCTGAATGTAAGCTGCCAAGTAACTACAAAATCAGAGACAAGGAGGGAAACTTGTAGAGCAGTAAGTAGGTAGGCAAGACACTCCAGGACATTAAGAAAAGAAGCAGCTTTATGAGACAAATGCAGCATGAACTTTGCATTGTATTATCCACATTGCTGCTGAATTATAGAGGGTTTTGTTTGCTTTTACAGATAACCTACAACCTCAACTGCAGTAATTAAACATATTTTAAAACTAATCCTTTCCTTGCCCCTGTTTTTGGAGGAATGGTAATAATTAAAGCATTGGCAAATAATTTAATAATCAGAGGTTCTTGATATTATAATAGCATAAAGGTGTTTTACATTGCTCTAAATATATCCAGTTGGAGAGAACATCTGAGCACCAGTATAACTGGCCCCTAAGGAACTATGAAATTGGTATGGCAATAGAAATAAATACATAATTTTTCATTTTGCCAACACAGAGGGGCCAGTAAATGGAATTTTTAAATGCAGAGGAAACATGAGGTTGCAGTTTAGATTAAGCTGAGCTAACTGTCAGCCATGGAAAAGGGAGATCCCACTGGTCCTCCAGCCCCTGTTTCCAGATCTGCTTTCCTTCCCCCTCCCTTTTGCCAGCATTAGGGTGCCTGTGGCTGCAGGATGAAACTGCAACTGATATGGCTGAAAACTAATTGTTATTTTGGAACCGGTTTATTTGTTTCATGGGGTAGATTTCAGCCAGGTTAGAACAGAGCACCGCTTTGGACAGAACAGAACTCTGTTCTTGGGAACAAGGGGGAAGACAAAACTACCCCTCTGGCAGCTCGCACTTAGACTAGATTTAATTGATCCTGAAACTACATCTTGACACATGAATATCAATCAGTGAACCACTTTAATTATTAAACCAGGAATCCTGAAAGCTTTTGTAGAACCCAACAGGAGTCTCTATGAATATTCTCGTAACTCTGCTTTCCTGCAATTCGGGACCATTACTTCTTATCCTGTGTCCAGGGAACATGCAAAACAGTTTATTTTCATCTCACTTATTTCTACCATTTTATAAGGAAAAAATCACTGCTATCATTCCTATTCTACATCCCTCTTTTCATGCCTAAGAGTTCTAGGTGAACTGAATACCAGTTGTGTGTCAGAACTGGAATTTTACTTGCCACGTGCACATCTAATGACTGTAATGGCTGGAATGCAAAAAGACAACAACAGAAGATTAATATTCACTTTTAGGGCAGATGCAGTAAAACTATAAGCCAAATATTCCTCCCCTTCTCTAAGCCTAACCCTAAGATTTTAATATTAATAATGAATGGTAATAGTGTGTTGGTGATTTTCAAACTTCTTTGGGCATCATAAAAGACAAAAGAAAATGTCATGTGGGTAGATTATGACGACTCTTAGCCCTATTAGTAAACAACAATTAGTAGACACTGGAATATGCTGCACAGCAAGTTGCACCAACACATCATAATAGCAGCGAGGAGAAAGTATCCTTAAAATAGTAAACACTCTGCTAGGTACATCTCCCCTCATCCAGATAAGAAATTCATGGACTGTATTTATTATATGACTCTGAGTTGAGAGCTACTATAACAGCTACTATAGATTTTATCACATAATATTTTAAGGTAATGAAAACAGCTGTTGATCAAGTAGTTACACTGGCAAAACTGATTTTGCTGACAGAGGTGGTGTCAACCAAGGGCATAGAAAGAGAAGGTAATTTTAACAGACTAAGAAAAAACCACAGTTTGTTGATACAGCTATGTCCATGTTAAGAGTGCTTTTGCCATTACAGCACAGCAGTGCCTTTTTACCACTAAATCCCTTTCAGGGTAAATCCAGCCAAATTGCTCCCAAGACAAATGGCCTTGGGGTTTACAATCCTTTCTCAGTTTTGTCAGTCTAAGGGGCAGATTATCACATCTACCTCCTACTTCTGCTGTTCTCTTTTCCATGGGAAATAACAATTGAAAAGACTTCACAGAAGACATTCCTTAACTCCTACTGAACAACAAACCCTGTCTATCCCAACAAACCCTGTCTATCCATGCCTGTATCAAAGCTCAGGAAAGTGGAGTCAGTACTCTTGACACAACTTCCCTTGAAGAATATTTAACATCTGTTCCTATTTTTGCTTCTCTGAGACAGACTGTGTGACTACCATACTTAGCACAGAACTAGGATAAAGAAAAATTCCAACTCTGCCACTATATTAATTCCTACCCACTTCATCTTCTTGCATCTGAGTTTCCCCACCTGCAGAATTAAGATAGTAATATCTGACTGTTCCTACAGGTGGTATAGGAATCCATTAAGTTTGTGGCTTTACACCATCATGTTTATTAACTTTAAATAATACCTGATGAGAACCAGCAGTTCTTCTGCATTTTGGGAAAAGTATGACCATGGCAGAAAGTCAGGTGTGTGTCCAGATTCTTTTTTTTTTTTTTTTTTTAGGAAACACATGGCAATATGATATAAAACAAATATAATGTTCATGAGGAATACAAAGAAATACATTGCAGAGGAGAATGAGGCCAGAAAAAAAGAATTTGAAAGTGACATCTCACAAACCTAACTAAATATTCATGTATTTGTTTGAAAAGTAGATTTTGGGGAAGCAGTTGTAAGAGACCTGGACAACTCCTTTACAATTACCAACTTTTTGAACCTTTCTAACTGTCACACTGTTGTTGCATGGCCTGCATGACTCCTGGGACAAATTCTGCTTTGAGTCATATTACTGCAATTCCCCTTTTCCTTTAGCATGAGAAAGTCTCAAATTAACAAAGATACAAAAAGAAGATAGGCACACTGCATCCTTCTTTGCAATGGCAAACAATTTTCTCATGGCTTAGTCACTGATAAGTAAGAGAGACATGCCAATAAAACCATTGTATCTCAGCTTGCCTATGTATAATCTTTCTGGGTACAAAAAAATGTTCAAATTTACCTAAAAGCATTACCAGCTAGCTGAAAAAGTCTAAAACCCCTCTGGCTCATGCACAAGTGCAAGCCTTGTATAAGGTAGGAAAGTGCATTTATTTATAAATAGTGTTTGCTATAGTGAAATAATGAATCTTATTATGCAGGTGACAAGAGTTTTAATTAGTATTTTGCTCACACTAGATTTCCAATGGTTTAATGTTATTGCGTCAGTAGAGATATTCTTAATTTTCAGTGAAGTAGCTGAGATGACATTTGCTTTTATTTACAGTTACTCTGGAGCAAATTCTGGAGAACTCTCCAGATAATTTCCCTTTGCACTGTGAAGACATGGTCTACTTGTTCTTCCACAAGGCACTGTAAGGAATGTAGTAAGACATTTTCCTGTCACAGTTTGGAGAATATTTCAGGAGAAATCCTGAGTGACTTAAAATA